GGGGGGGGGGGGGGCGGGGGCTGGAGGGGGACCGTTTCCAAGCATGGGAGACAGGCTGCCGGAGCCTCACGCCAGCTCTTCCCCTGCTGTGGCTGCCAGCTCAGAGGCGGAAGAAATCGAGGTGCTGGACTCCGAGGATGTCCTACCTATGGCCGCAGAGGATGTAAGTTTCCTTTGCTCGGTGCCTTCCCTCCTTTCCCCCGGGGCCGGGTTAATCGGCTCAAGCTATTTATAGATGAAGTCCGGGATGGGGGGAGGAATGGGGCTGATGACCCTCTGGGGCGAGGGAAACCCGCCGTGTCCCCCCCCCGCCCTGCGCGCCCCTCGCCGCCGGGTGTCTGCGGGCTCCGGCAGCCGCCGGGCTCTCTCCGTCCCCGGGGCCGCAGTTCCCTTCTCCTCCCAGCCCCAGCCCGGAGTGCCCCGGCGGCAGCGGCCCGGACAGGCTGCCGGTCCGCTCGGTGTCCGTGCCCGGAGCCGCGCCGCCGGGGAGATGCTGGCTCACGGCGAGCTGCAAGCCGGGCGGGCCGGGGCAGCGGGGCTGCGCGCAGAGGCGTCTCTGGAGGCTGAAGAGGGGCTGACGCCTTGGCTTGAGGGGCTTCCCGGGGACAGAGAGCTTCTCCAGAGTCCCAGCCACTCGGAGGGTGACAGATATCTCTTCCAGCCCCCGAGCAACAAACAGCCGAGGAAGTTTTTTCCCCAGCTCGGCTCGGCAGGGCTGATAGCTTCTCTCCACCCTCTGAGCTGTGATTGCACCTGAGGGTGGGATATCTTGGCACCGGGTCTCAGCCTCTGCTCATCCAGCCTAGAAGGACACCAAGTGGTCCTGCGTGCTTCGAATCTGCTCCTGCCAGGCTGAGCAGCAAAGCCTGCAGAGCTGTGGCGGTAGTTCTGCATCTACCGGTCCCGGAGGCAGGAGCTCGCTGTGCACCTGTCCTGGGAGGGAGCGAACGTGAGCAAATCCTGCATGCCTGGTGCATCCCAGACTGCTCGCAGCCCTCCTTCCCAGCAAACTCTGCTGGGATGAGGACTGTGCAAAGTGTCTGCTCAGTCTGCAGAGGTAAGCACAGGGTCTGTTCCTGCCTGTGGAGGCATGAAGCAGCGATATAAACGTCTTTCTGAAGCGGGCTGTGTCTCAGGTCTTGCACCGATATGAAAGGGACGCTTGTGAACTAAGCCTCCAGCAGTGGCACATCCCCTTTCCCCTCTACTTTTATGACACTGCTGGAGGAGCCCGTCTAGGGCTGTTTAGGGGCAGTGTCTGCTCCTCGTCCCCCAGCCCTTCCTTCTGAATCACCTCGAATTCAGTCGCTGTTGGATTTTCCTCCCAGAGGGTAGCGGAGGAAGTGCAGTTGCCTGGTAGAGCTGCATTCCCCAGGCTGTATTCCTGAGCACTGTACAGTCAGGAGGAACCGTGTGATGCAGTTTGACCTCTGCTACAACACTGCCAGCTAGTCCTAAGAGGAGCATGCCTCACCCATGAGGGGCATGTGTAGCTTTCACTCGGAAAGGGTGGCTTTGCAGGAGCTTTCACAGTCCAGGTTGCCAAATCCTGGTGCTTGCTTACCTCGGACTGTGACCTTTTCCTCCCTGACAAATTTTGTGCTTGTCTGGATGGTCTACAAGAAAGATTTCCTGTTGTGTTACACATGGGACCCTTGGAGTTACTCCAGCCTCTACATGAATGCAGCCATTAGCAATTCAATCCTGCCAGGAGCCCAAGACATGCTGAAGTGCTGAGTGCCTGGCAGGATTGGGGTCTTGAGACAGGAGAGGGACCATGAGCTTTCCTTGGTGAAACCTAGATTCTCATCCTAGTTCCGCTACTGACTTGCTGCTTGACCTTGAGGTAGGACAGCTTCGGTCTGATCCAGCTCGCAGTGTCTTGCTGTTACTTACGCTGGGATCTGCATTGTTACTTGACTCTGGTACCTTGTTTTCTGCAATCAACAAAATGGAGCTAGAGCCTGCAGTTGCATTGGTTATGGGAAGCTGCTGAGACCTGGCAATAGATTATGTGACAGAAGCCTGAGGTATTGTATATCATCTGCAAGTCGGAAAGGCAGGAAGTGGTGTAAATGCCCTCCTCCTCCTCAGCCAAGATTTCCTGCTGAAACAAGCAGGCTGCAGAGCATCATCTCTGAAAATTCAAACTGCTCTGTGCTAGCCCATGCCCCCCTGAGACCTAACTGGGGGTTGGTTTTCTGTTGTTATTATTACATTTGAGAGCTTGATGTAAGCTGTCTGGCTTGGCCAGCAAGAACTGACACAAGGTCAGTTCTTTATGTGTTATTAACCACAAAAATATTACGTAGTGGAGGTTTGGCTGTCATAGCCTTGACAGTGTATAACAGCTCAGCTGTGATGTCATTACAGCTCTCAGAGCAGCGTTCCACAAAGCCAGGATTCAGGCAGTCCCAAAATGTTCTGTTTAAAGTGCCAGGCTGATTTATGATGATAAATGGGAGTTTATAAATGGATAGAGGCATGGAGAGGAGGGGAGCCAACAACTTAACTGATTAAATGGAATTCAGTGGCCTGATATCCCACTGTCTCTCCAGTCAATTCTGCTTTAGATCTGCCTACCATGTGAAAGGAAATGTTCTTCCAGGACTAGCCAAGACTCTCACCAGAGCTCTGCTTTGCATATAGCACAGTGAGGACATTTGCTTCTATGAGTCTGATGTTTGTTATTTTACTCATTTTGCTTTTCTGGGAAGGTGAATGAAGCAGAAACAGTGTGCTGAACAGCGCTTCAGATAGGAGAGCTAGAAATGTGCAAGGTTTTTTCTGGGGATCCCAAGCCAGTGGTTACCCCACTGTTGCCCCATGGAAGTTGTTCTCTTCTCAGCTGGCCCCCCAAATCCAGGGGAGATGAGAGAGTGCCTTAAACAATTCATTAGGAATTTCCTCTGTTCTGTGGGACAGTGAGGCAGCAAGCCTGGGTCAGGGAGGTGGCCTGACGTCAGCCTTTCTATGAAGCATAAATCAGAGGCAGTCACCAGCTTGTTTTTTCTGTTCCAAAGTGACAAGGACTTGTGGAACGTTCACATGGTCATCAGTATTGAAGTGGAGCTTTCTCCTATACAGAGCTTTTAAGGCAGATCTTCTAGAATGAAAGTTGTGGGGTAAAACCTTGTAATGGGCTCCCTCCAGCCTTCCACCCTGCCACCTTGCATGAGAGGAATTACCCGTTTTTCAGATGTGGACGTGTGAGGCTCAAAGAACTGATGGGTTATCGAAGACCTTGGAGCAAGTCCCTGCCAGATTTAGGAGCAGGCAGCAGACAAGCCTCTGACAACCTGCAGGGCAGTCTGTGGGTCAGTGTTGGGCCACAGGATCTCAGAAAGGGATCTGAAAAACCATTGCTAATTCCTCCCTCCCCTCAGTATACACCAAGCTTTCTTGATCTCTGTGAGTAAAAAAGCCTTTTATTCCTTGCTTGCCTGCAAGAAGACAAAGAGGGAGAAAACAGAATTAACACATGAATGTTCTGAGTTCATCCTAATTTGGATTTGTAAATGAAAACTGTCCTCCCTGTGGTTGGTAGCTTCCCCCTGCCTCCTCCCCCGGAAGGGTAGGTGATTCTGGGATGAAGAAGGATGTTGGAAATGGCACTAAATCATTTGGTTATTTCTTTGTTAGAATATACTTCTACAGTTTACTGCATGTTAATGTCGTTGCTCTTATACCTTCTTTTTCTTTTTTCCTCCCTTATGCATTGCCTCTCAGCACTGGAAAGCCCTATTTGATCAGGTATGTGAACAACTGATATATTGTCTCTGTCTTGTGAGCAAAGTGTCTAACCTCCAGTTAATTTCCTCTGTACTAGATTTTCCCTGCATTTAAAATACAGCCTAGGAATAATGTGCTCCGTGCTCCCGGTTCCCACGATGCTGGTGTGCAAGTCATAATTATCACTACTGCTTTGGGCCTTTCTCTCAATTCCTCTTCAGAGTATCCAGGGACAGAAGCAGGCCCAGCCTGGCCATCCCTACTAGCACAGAGGCTGAGCCGAGGTGCTGCAGCAGGTGCTCTGTTCGCTGCCAGTTGTGCTGTCCTTGCTCTGTGGATTAAAGGATCTTCTACTCTTTGAGGCAGGCAAACTATGACCTGTAAAACCAGCACTGTATTTTTTGAAATGGCTCCCCAGCTGCTAAACTAACTTCTGCGGGGTTACATCCTCCAGGGGACAACCTGCTGCTTTAAACTTGCGCAGAATTAGCAAAGTATCTGCTTCTGTACCAAAGACTATGGTTGTATCAGGTAAATGCCTTGTGGGTCAGATCTGTAGCTGGCTGAAATCAGTGCAGCTCTGTAAAGCTCTGAGTTACTGCTGCTGAGAATTTGGGTTGTGGATTCCAGTTTGTAAATTATGCTTTTAGCTGCTTTAACTGACATGTTTGCTTTGTGGTATTCCTTCCATCTGCCAGGTTGAAATGTGAAGCAGCTATAAACTGAAGGATTTTTCTAGGCTTGACTTGCTTTTAAACTGCAGCACTCTCTTGATGTCATAAAGTTTTGTGCTGTTGTGTGTGCGTGTAAATGTCACCTTCTGTAAGGGAGCTCACTCTGATGCTGGCATCGTCCTGGCAATACTAAAGTTCGGATGGGATTTTGTCCCTGCTTTATGAGGCGATAATCTTGCTTCTGTGTCTGGCTGAACTGCAAAGCCAAAAGCTGTGGTGCAGTCTCCGGGAAAGGATGTCCTTGGTACCCTAGGGGTCCCGTTATCATTCAGCTAATAACTGGACTGCCTGTTCTGATGAGTGCTCATTCATACCCAGTTAGCTGTGACCGACTGCTAATCCACGTGTCTGGACTGCAGTACATTTGTTGTCATACAGTCAAGCAAGCTGGCAGTTGGGAATTAGATTACTATAATTGTTGATCACACCTAAATTGTGTGGTGTATTTGAATTTGCTGGGGCTCATAGGGTATGCTGCCACTCAAAAGGTGGATGCAAGATAAATTGCTTGTGGTCTGGGCTGAATGTTTGTTTCAGCCACTTTGAATTCTCCCCCGTCTCAAACGTTGGCCTTAATTTGGAGTCTGATTCTACAAGCATCCTTTGAAGTCACTGAACCCTTGCGGGATGGGGCTCTTGGCTGGAAGCTACCTCGGGCTCAAAGAGAGGAATCTGTAATTTCCCACTGGACTTGCTT